GGGGGGGGGGGGGGGGGGGGGGGGGGGGGGAGGGGGAGGGGGGGGGGGGGCGGGGTGAGGGGTGTTGATGATGTCACTCACTGTGTTATCTCTTCTTCTGTTATCTGTCAATCACCCAGAGTCACCCATGTCTGCCACTGAAGACCCCGTGTATTCACCAGTTGGCAACGACACATGTGAGTCATGGTCACTACAGTTGGTGGGCCCTCTAGTGGTTTGTAGTGAATGATCAATAAAGGAGGAATTCAAATGGTTTTCATTTCTTTACTGCAGTAAGAGAAGGGAGACTCATGTCCGCGGTGCTGGAGCGAAGCCTGTTCTCTTTATTGCTCATTCCACTCCTAGGCCTCATATGTCTGATTGTGTGGAAGGTGAGTTGACCTTTGAACTGTGGCACAATTCTGTCTAACATCCAGAGATATGACTGTTTGTTGTCGCCGCACTGTAGCTCTTTGATCGGTGGAATTTATTACAGCTAAAGACGGCGGCCGACAGATTTGTGCAGATAAGAAAGTCTTTTTTTTTATACCCCAATAACAGATCCGATCACGGAGAACTCTGGAGGATCCGGAACAGAACCCCGCAGCAAACAGACTGTACTCAGAACCAGAATGGGCCTTACCTCCACTGGACCAAACAACAGAGAAGTAGGCTAACGCCTGTTCTTTAGTTTTACACATCAGTGGAAGAAGAACAGAACAGAATAGTCTTTATTGTCGTCCTACCACGGGACGGACAACGTCCTCCAGTCATTTGAATCAAAACAACAACTGGTTCAGCATGTACTACCACAGGTGTTGATCCTGGTTCAAACAGTAGGTGGTGGCATCACAACTAAATACAAACCTAGTCAAAGGTCATATATATATATATTTGACCCAGAAAGGACCAAGAAGACTAGGTTTAACTAAAATATATATCTAAAACTGGCAAAGATATAAATCACAGTTACCTTCAAAAACAAAACCTTTTTATTCTTGTTATTATGATTAATGATGATTATTTTATTTAATTAGTTATAGCATTATTATTATTGCTGGACGTGCTGCTGTCACAGCTGCTTATGTGAATGAATGAACGACTGATGAATGAATGGATGGATGGATGAATGAATGAATGAATGGATGGATGAATGAATGAATGGATGGATGTAACCCAGGGCTGCCCAGTCAGTAGATGATTCAAATACTAATAAAAAATAAAGATTGTTTCATATTAAATCCCTGAGTTTTTTTCCTACAGCTGCAGCTTTTTAATCAACATATAATGAATATTTTAAATATTACCAGCGTGGACACTGCTGTCCTACAGATGAATCAGTGATTCAGAGTCATTAACACACTGATCTGAGCTGAGCTCCACAGGAGGGCACTTCATGTTCATGTTCCCACAAATTACAATTTTCCACCAGACACACAAAGTATTGGTTCAACATCAGTGACGGATCCTGCGGCTCAGGTTGCGCGGCGTGGACTTGTCAGTGTGGTGTCTGAAATCTTCGGATGAGTAACGGCATCCTGGGCTCCGAACCAAACAGTTGACTGGTGTCATGTGGAAGCTTGCCGCCGATCGTTCTTCTTCCAGCTGAATCTGTGTCTGTTGTTGTTGTTGTTGTTTTTGAACTGTGACTGATACGTTTATTTCTGCCCGATCACAGGAACAAGTTAAACGTCATTGCATCAGTGTAACAGCGTCCCTCAGTCTTTCACTTGGTGAGATTTCCACAGAATATAAGACGCGTGTCATGTGAAATGTTGCTTCTCGCTGAGCTCTCAACGGCGCCCCCTCTCCTGTTTTTGGCAGGACTCCGCTCCACTTTTTCAAAGTGGTGTCCAAATGTGATGAAAAACAAACACGAGGCTGAATTCACGTGAGATCTCAGAGGTGAACAAAGGTGATTTACGACGACGGAGCAGACCAGCGCCCTCTGGTGAAATCACGCCTGCTACCATATGGATAAGCTTGCCTTTCATGTATGACTGCATTTACCGAACGCATGCTTTTGAAAGAAAGAAAAAATATATAGATATATGAATAAATACAGAAACTGTGGGGGATTCTGGAGAATTCCGTGTACGACGCCTCCGCTGGACGTTCCTGCTAATCATCACCACACCCTGCTGCTTCATGAGTTCTCAAGGGGAAAAGGCAACAGACGACAATCCAGATTATGGAGGAGAATCACGGAGGAGGTAGACGTGTGAACCGGGCACGCTGGCTGTGACCTTTTACCCCAATTAGGTCGTCCTGCTGCAGCCTGACACTGACGAGGCCGCAGGACACACACACACACACACACACACACACACACCTGTGTTATATATGTAGGTTATTGTATTTCTATCATGTTTGTGGTCTGATGTCGAACCGTCCATGCTTGGTTTGTGCCTTGATTGACTGGTGCGAGTACGTCTGTGTGAACAGGTCAAAAACACAGCAGACAGTGGAGACAACGTTACCAAGAAGATCACATCATCTTACCACCACCACCCCTCCCCCCGACCCCCCTGGCTTCAGTTCAGTCAGCTTGACCCCCGCTCACTCCTGTGAAGGGTGTGTTTGTGAACTCTCTCACCAAACATGACACACAGACCTGCAGCCTCTGGGAAACAGTTCACCTGGTAACTCCTCTGCTTGTTTCATGTGTATATGGGAAAATAGGTTGGGACTTTTCTTAGAAGATAAGAGTATATTGTGCTTAATAATTAAAATATGTGTAAAGAAGAAAAACATGTATACGACATTGGTTTTCATATAGTTCTGAGCAGCGAAACATCCGCCACAAAACTGAAAGATTCCTTTGTTTTTGTCGAGTTTTTCTTTTTTTTCTTTTATTGCAAGATGACTTTTCATCATCCCCGACTAATCTGCAGAACTGGCAGAGCAAAGGAAAACACATTTTTGTGCAGTTAACCCACAGCAACAGTGGGAGAGTATCTGAGTCGAGGACTTTTATACTCGGCTGTGTCCAACGTCTGTCAAGACACACTATCTTTGTCGGTGTAGACATTCTTTAAAGTGGTGACTTTTTCTTTTTTTGATGTGAATTGATGTGCAGTACAGTGCCCAGTATTCAGTGCAGTACAGTGCCCAGTATTCAGTGCAGTACAATACCCAGTATTCAGTGAGCAGGTACACAGGTTAGTGTAGCAATAAACCAGCTGTCATTAACAAACTGCAAAAAGAACTGCATTTCACATGAAAAACAGCAAAACTCAGTCACATCCAAGCTGTGAGATTAGATATACATATACTGTATATCTACATATATATATAGATATATAGATATATATATGTGCTGTATATTGAGGACAAAGTTATCACCTGTTCCACAAAGAGAGGACATTTTACCACAGCATTAGCTGTATTTCAAAAGTTTAATTTTTGACTTTAAACACAGAAAGTCTTAAAATAATCCATATTCAAATGCAGGCGCTCTATACTGGTTATTACACCTGGTCTGGACCATGGGATCCTATATTGTTCACACTTATACTTGTTATTACACCTGGTCTGGACCATGGGATCCTATATTGTTCACACTTATACTTGTTATTACACCTGGTCTGGACCATGGGATCCTATATTGTTCACACTTATACTTGTTATTACACCTGGTCTGGACCATGGGATCCTATATTGTTCACACTTATACTTGTTATTACACCTGGTCTGGACCATGTGATCCTCTGGTGGTCACACTTATACTGGTTATTACACCTGGTCTGGACCATGTGATCCTCTGGTGTTCACACTTCAAATGTATCAAATGTCCCTGTTATGTGAAATCGTGCTCACGTCTCATATGATAGAATGATCTGAAGGCTCGATCAGAAAGTACCTGGGACCAGTCATTTTGTCCTCATATATATATATATATATATACATATACATATATATATATATATACATATATTTATATATATATATATATACATATACATATATATATATATATGTATATGTATATATACATACACTGTGTGTGTGTGTGTGTGTGTGTGTATAATAATGGTCCCCCATTTTCCTGTCTGTCTAAGAGCCACAGGACGTCTGCAGGTTGAATACATGTGAGTTAGATCAAGTCAGTTCATCCACTGGTCAAGTTAGTGAGTGTTAGGTTAGTGAGGTGAGGTGTGGTGTGAGTGGACGGAGTGAGCAGTGACCAGTGAGTAGAGCTGAATGGATGACTGTCCCACTGTCCCACTGTCCCACTGTCCCACTGTGGTGAGTACATCAAACGGCTCTTGGCAGGAAACACGTCTGGCTGCCAAGAACAAAGCAGATATAATTATGACCCAGTTGGTATTCTGGGTGAAAACTCTACTGTATTCTGTATTTTTGTATAAATGTAAACAAACATATGAGATATGAATAAAGTACACGTATCCAACTGTTGGGTCAAGGTCTGCTGATTTGTTCTGTGAATACTCAGTACTTCAAGTGAATACTCAGTACTTCAAGTGAATACTCAGTACTCCAAAGACCCTGAGAGGGAGTTGACCGTCTGTCTCTGAATGAGCCGATGGAGGGGGAGGTTTTGGTGTTTGCTCAACACACCACAGAATTCAAACTAGCAACCATCCGGATTCAAGCTCAGTTCTTGAACGACTGGGCCGCAGAGTAGACCACCGACCACCGACCTCTCCTCAGAAAGACTGACTCGGTCTTCAGGGAAACCCCACTGTGCTCCGAGGAGAACGTCGTAAGCATAACAGAGTGTCCGTTAAATCATGAAGGAAAAGTAGTGGCTCCGTTGACCTGCGTGGAAGCTTCCACTGCTCCTGACAGGAGGTGTTTAAAGAGAGCATCTTAATATTCCCTCAGTGACCAAACGTAAGGCCGTGATAAGTGTTGGCCCTGGGTCTTAATGTGAGCTCAACTCTCAGCAACTATTTGTTTTCATGGATCATTTGACAAATTAAACCAGCAAAAACAGACGCCACGATGAAATGTGACACATTATTTTTATTCACAGTACAAACAGAAGAGTAAACCATGATGTGGTTTGACTGAAGTGTTACTACTATTTCAAACAACAGATAAAGAGTGAAATGGAAAGTCACTGTGGTTGAAGACAAATTCCTCCTTCTCCAAAGTCATGATTCTGGACTACAGAAAAAAAAAAAAGTTAATATATAACATATATATAATAATAGAAAAGAGACTTTTCTCTCATTCATGGTTTATTAGGATAATCCACTAAATGTTGAATAGTCCCGACCCACCGTATATACAAAGACACATAGATATGTAGAACTTGTCTACTGGTACGCACGTCTTCTCGTTCCTACTCTGCATTGAAATTGAATTATTTTCTTTCTTTGCTTGTTTGTCTAATACATAGGTCCATCCATCAATTTCCATCCGTTAAAGTTTCACACAGAAGCGCTGGTGTTTGTTTGGTTTGGCTGCAGTGAGACTCCCAGGCCTGTGGGAGTTTTAGAAAGTCTGCTTTTGTGTCGGAGCCAAGAACATGCATCATAGTTCTCCTCTCTGTAAACAACAGGAAGAGCTGCCTCCATTGTTCACCGACATGACTGTATAATGAATGTGCAATTGTGTGACAGAGAATAGACGTACTTGGAGCATGACTTTAGTGTAATGGACCCCGGCCACTAATACATGCTCTATATGCAGCCCACGTGGGTCAGATGTTTCCCTTCGTCACACCACGGCAGGTACAGGCAGAAAATAAAGTCGAAGAAAATCTACCAGGCATTTAAAAGTGGACACGCCATTTTGTAGAGGCCGATTGTAGACTTTTTTTTTTTTCCAAGGGTTGAATTCCAGGCTCTTTTTTTTTAATGTGGTCACATTAGTTTTAAGTTTTGAAAAGGAACACAGACACGCACATCAAAATGTGTTTTCCTGGGGAGCACTGATCCGTCTCTGAAGCACCTGCGGAGCGAGGAACTCCTGCTTGCTCAACACACCACAGCCTGCCAGAGTGGGATTTGAATCTTGGTCCTCTGAGAACAAGCCCAGACCTGGCCACGGGTTGCCTCAAAGGAAGGTGTTCACCGCAGAAAGCCAGTAAAACAAAAATGTCCACGTGACCACAGTTGTATCTAACAGAAAACAGACGTTCTTTTCCTTCAAAGAATTAGGATTTTTCTGTCTTCTTCTTGGGCCAAACTGTTCAGTACCGTATTTTCTGGACTATAAGTCGCACTTTTTGGCTGGGATTGCGACTTTTACATTGAAATATATTATTTCACGTTTGTTATTTTCACACTGACAGCAGCTAGAGGGCACTCTAGCTGGCTGGTGCGACTTATAGTCCGGAAATACGGTACAAATTCTTCCTGTGTGTTGGTTCTCTTCAGGTACGCCACAGTTCTTCAACACTGGGTCAAGGTCATTAGGTCAAGTGGTGACCCTTAATGTATCTGTTATGGATATAAGTGTGAACGGGGGGTTGTGATTGGTTTACGCTGCCCTTGTTGTTGAAGAACGTCTGGGGTTTTGTTCCACAAGGTGGACATGGTTTACGTTCAAACAAACGTTGATTTTAGCTTCAGTGTCTTCGTCCTCCCTACAAACACCACCACCAAAGTCTTCAACTGTTTATATTTATATCGCCCCGGCTCTTGGTCGAGAACAAACACATTCTTCGTATTGTATTGTGTTTTTAGAAGATACACCCATCACGCCTCGTTGAACAACCGAGGATCTCGCGGTTCTGTGTTGATGCACGTCGGTGCACACCACACACACTGTGTCCAAATAACCGCAGACTTTATGTATTGCTTGTTGACAGAGCACCACCTCAGAGCAGGACGGGCAGCAGTAGCTCTTCCACGTTCAACACGGCCCCGTGGACGGGCTCCTCTGTTTCCACTTCACAGTCAGGAGCTTCTGCTCTCCCATCCTCAGAGTCCGACGGCTCCCAGCTGCACAAACTCAAGGAGGAAGAACATTTAGCAACCAGACCTTCCTTTGTTTTTGTGACTGTGAGCCAGCTGAACTTAGATCAGTGTGCTGTCTCTGTGTGCGAATACACTTGATGGATCAGTCCCTCATGGATGTGGCTGGGACATTTGTTTTTAATTTACTTAAAAAAAAGAAGAAGAAGAATGATCCTGAGTGTTTCCCGAAGCCAACGCTGCTTCAGAAACTGTTCACAAGAATAATTGGAAGCAAACGCTGGGTGACAGAGACTAGTTCAAGGAGAGTTATTTTAAAAATCATTCTGGAACTGACTGTGATTCCAGTCTATAAAGAACTGTTCCTGCACCTTTGTAGTCAACGCCACAGCTTGAACGTGTTGAAAGTATGTGGACGACTCCTGGAAATCTAGCAGGGCTCAAGTCCCCGGGTCACGGTTTGTCGTTTGTCGTGTATCAGGATTATAAACCATAATCTGATGTTTAATCTAAGTCACTGTTAAGGCTTTGTCGTGTGGGGTTAGTCGAGGTAAAGACTGCGTACGCCCCACGACAATGACCTCAGCCACTTGACTAAAGTGAAAACTCTTTATGTCGTCAACGTTACTGCTCTTTCAAACTGAAAATACCTTAAAAGACCTCGTAAATAGAAACCTCTCAATCTGCCCTGTCTGCTTAAACCAAGGGTAAATTCATTCAAACTGACCTTTGTCCATCGTTAGAGACTGACATTTTATCACTGACTCAAAAACAGACAACAGAGGGGTCCAGGTCAGAGGGTGCTTCAGTACTCAGACACGTGTGTGTGTGTGTGTGTGTGTGTGTGTGTGTGTGGTTATTATATGAGACCTCACTAATGGTTTCAAAGAGAGACACAGTTTCTGCGTTGGAAGACCTGGTACAACTCAGCCGTACTAGTTGTTCAATAACTACAGTACAGCGTAAGAGAAGGTCAGTGGAGGTTCACGACCCCGTGTCGGCCCCCGCCGGAACAACATTCTATGAAACACAACGATTCTGTTAGAATTAGAGTTTAGCTGCTTCATCAACACATCCTCATCACAGACCCTCGACCACGAGGTGGACAGGAAGTGAGTCCTGGAGTCATCCATGAGTCATCCAAGTCGTCAAGAGACAGTAAAGGACACACACACAGACACACACACACATCATTAATGCAAACACACACACACACAAACACATGGATTATCTCTTTTCTTGAATTCATCACAAAGCTCTTTCGTCATAACCCTTTTCTGTGGACGTCCCTCCCACTCGGTTGGTCGGTGGGTGTGGGAATCAGCACAGGACCCTAGTCACAGGTCAGGGGCTCTAAGGTTACTAATAGCCCACACCAATAGACTCGTGATCCACAGCTTGCCCTTTATGGCACTCCTCCCTGCGGCCAGAGGAGAATGCCCCCCCCCCCCACCCACCCCCCCCCCTCGTCCCGTGAGGACGTAACAGGAGGCTTATCAGCACGCTGGGCTGTGCTGTAATACTCCTGTGAAAGGGCTTTCAGGCCACCTCTCAATATTGATTTTTCTGGGCAGAAGGGAAATCGAGAAGCCCCCCCCCAACCC